GAAAATTTGATTCTGATGTTGAAGAAGCATTTGAAGGTAAAATAGAAAAATCTGATGACATTATTATTACAGAACATGTCAATTCTAATTTACTTTTTTGCAGGATTTTTTGCAGGATATGTTTTTTTTTGCAGAATAGATATATNTGGCAAATTCAATTGTCAAGTTCAAGAGAAAGATGGTTATTGGAGCCAATAGTCAATGTTCTTTGTGTCTCAATTTTGCTACCTAACGTGTATCAGCCTTTACCGTATATTTTGTTTAGGAATCATTCATTTTTGGTACATAAATCTACAATGTTTGTCCTATATGAAGCGGAAATTATTTTTATAATAATCAATTTGTTTACATTTTCTTCTTTGCTAAATTAGTAAAAGGGTCCACACACATTCATATACAATTGAAAAGTATGTGCACCAGTTACTATTACAGTGTAATGAAATAACTTCATTCTGCATGTAAAAACTAAAATAGACAAGTATCATAATTACGAAGCCAATTTAATGTTTAAATAATTTAAATATTTTATTATTTCGAAAATATCAACACAGTAATAAATTATATAAGTTATAAATGCAGTTTATTATATATAAAATATTTTTAATCTATCTATTAAGAAAAATCATTTGAAACATTTATGAAAGAATATAAGTGAAATTATTATTTATAATAATAAAAATGAAACACAAGACATGATACCACTCCAGTCACATGACTGGATTGGTGTCATGTTCAACAACTTCCCATACATCATGACTAGTTTGACCGGACACGTTTAAATCCCACATTTTTAAAAGGACAAAGAAAAATTTCCCTGACCATTATAATTTTAAAACTTTCTGTAATAAAATAAAAATTTCAATTTAATAACACTTTACAATATAAAGATATTAAAATAAAAATATATAAATGATTTTATAAAAATAAAATTATAATATAGCTAAAAATCTGTAATTTATTTATTAATATCTACCGATTAATTAAATAAACTAATTATATGTTATAATAAATCAAATATATATAAAAAAATTTACGTGAATGTAAAAACGTACCAAGACTGGCAGCACTATGGAAAGTTTGACAAACGAAGAAACCATTAAAAACGTGAAATTAAAATTCAAATGAAAATAATTTACAATAAATGTAACATACAGTACTAATACTTAAATAAATAGTATATCATCAGACTGTACATTAATTAGACTTAAAATTAAATTAATTACATTCAAAAAACTGCTATAAAAAGCCAATATATCATCTTTCTCACACATAAAAACAAACAAATTAAATATATCACCTCTGACACTCTAAAAGCTAAAAAAATTAAATTAAATAATATTTAGAAGGACTGATAGTAATATCTCTAGTATGAAAATTTAATATTCGACAAATTTCACGTCATCAGTAATATGATCATAAATTAATGTAATCAGCTTTTACAGGTCAAAGGATTGTTCCATATAATGTGTTATAATTCACAAAGATATATTAGTACATGAACATAATATACATGAAAATGTAGATAACAGAATCCTCCATTTAAATAGCATATAGCCATACAGAAAATGTGAGTTTGAATGATTTTACTGAGATTTGATCGGACATTATTTTACAAGTCATTAATGTAAACAAGAAAAACTAATTTTTTTTGAAAAAAGTAAAAAATACAAGCGGATGAAAAATATACCAAACAAAACTACTAATACTTGCATATTAGCAATATTTTTTCATATTTCTATTTAAAAATTTGATTTTATACGAATTTTTAAAATAAGTACATTGACCGAAACGACCTTCAACCTGCTCTGAATTTTATTGCCAGGTTGTAAAACAACTACCTGAAAGCCAAAGGCTTAAAAGCAATTTTCTTATGTCATGATTAAAAATCTGCTCATTTAAAACAGCAAAAAACTGATTATTATTTGGTAGTTCAAAATGATACTTTCTCATGGAGGCATCCTACCCATCGCATCTTGTAAGCACTATTTTTAGCGTGGCCGAGGTGCTGCTAGTGCGCTGAAAGCACACCTTCAGCATGCTGACAGTAGGCTTAATAATTGAGCACATGCACTAAAAGCGCTGCAAGTGAACTGAATAAAAGAATGTGTGGTATATTTTCTAGCCACTGTATCTTAATTAAGTCGGCCATCACAAACACTTCGGAACTCATACTTGAGCCGTGCTAGGCCGAGGAGCTCACTGTGAATGACGGGCCCCCCAGGCGGCCCCCCTCTGACGCACAGATGCAGCGCGCCGCGCCACGCGGCTCCCCTCGGTTGTGAAGTGGGAGTTTTTAGGAAGGTTTTGGGAGTGTCTAGTAAGTTCTAAAAAACGGCAAAAAATGCCATAGTTTCGAGATTTAGTTCTCGAAAATTTTCACTTTTGAATTTTACTCCATTTTTGAGGGTCTCAAATTTTCCACATAGTCATTTTTGGGGGGCCTATATCTCGCGAAGGGTCGCCCGTACGGCCATTGTTCCTTTGACTCTTTTGTTCATATGGATATGCTCTACAGCTTTCAACCAAAAGCGCCCTTTCAAACGTTTCTTTTTCCACAAAACGTGATTTCACATCGTTCAACGGAGAACCCGCCGGTGATATAAATGTTGAATTTAGAAACGAACAATATAGTAACAAGAATAAGACTTATTAAAGTTACCTTATCACACAAAAATAACTTATTCCCATCCTCGAAATACGTTAAAATATACTTACACGCTATCTTGAATGTATCTTACGTGGACAGACAATACACAGTTCAAACAGACGAGAAAGAAACACGTGCTTCTAAAACAGTGCTGCCAAATCTCCCGTCTTTTCGCTTGTTTGCCCGCCCCCTGGCGGAATGGTTAGGCATTACTCTCTTCTATATTAGTTGTTGTAATTATAAACTTTTTTTTTATATTCCGTAAATACGCGATGGAGACCTCTTGACGAGTTAATTTTAAACATTCGCTGATTTTACAGATATTATTATTCTTAATATTCATTGTTCGAAGTATTTTGTTTTTTATACTATCGGCATTCGTCGAGGCGGTGTTGTGTCGATCTGTCGAAGCAATATCTGTAATTGTCGTAGTTTTTGATTTTGATATGTAACTACGACAAGCAAATAAAAAAAGTTTGTCAAGCCTCGAGTTTCGAATTTAATTCGTTCCTAAAATTTATTCTAAAACCAAAACACATTTTTCTATAAGAAACAATATAGAATGGATTAATCCGTTCTGACCATCAAAACAAGGATGGCCGGATGACCGAACGGTTAAAGTAACAAACTACTGCGCTGGGGCCTCGGGATCGAATTCGGGCGGATCGATAAATTTTTAGGGGGTTGGTCCGTCCGGATATGTCTGACCCCGTCTCTCACCACCCGGCCGCCTGATTATGGGCCTGGCCGAACCCATAATTATAGGCTTGCTAAAAGAGGCCCTCTTAGTGCCCACAGGGCGAAAAGAGTTAAAGAAAAAATAAGAGGATTCCATTTAAAAATTTCTGCAGAACGCATTTCTATATTCATACATTCCGCCGTCGCGCGTCGGTGCCGTCCGACGGCGAAAACGGCCGCTCGTAGTTTTTTCTAATACTCTTTCCGCCCTGTGGCCACTAAGAGGTTCTCTTATAGCAGGCCCATTACGAGTTCGGCCGACCCACAACGGGACGATCGGGTGGTGAAGGACGGGGCCCGACATATCCGAGCGGACCATCCCCCGAAAAGTTCCTGGGGATTTCTTGACCTGTCGGATTCGATCACGGGTTCCCCAGAGCGGTAGGCTGCCACCTTGACCGCTCGGCAATCCGGCCGTCGGCCGCTCGTAGTAGTAGTTTACGGCGGAAAGCAACATGGCATCCTCCATGACTCAGACAGATTCATTTCGGGGTGCATTATATGGTTTTCAATTATGAATGAAAATTTGAAGTTGTGAAAGCGCGAGTTAGTGCATACAGTAATGTCTTCTCGAATTTTTTTTCGAATGGAAGCCGGCATTCTAATTTTTTTCGTGGCTACTTTTAATGCTCTGTCGGCAAAATAAACCATTTTATGGTTAAATTTTCAATTGGGACCCTTCGTTTATCTCTAAAAACGTATATTTTCGAATCGTAGATCCCCCATTACGATACTGTCGACAGTAAGGGCGCCGCCATCTTTCTTTCTTTAATTGTAGCACCGTAGACCCAGAGCGACCGCTATTAACGAACGCACCGATACATGGAACATTGTAATATAAGAATTGCCTCCATCATCTAGTGATGAACTGACTCACCTAAAAATTCCCGATTTTCCATTTGCTCGGTGGCCTTTCCTCCTTTAATTAAGTGAAATATAACGTGTATACATTATATTTCACTCGAGAAAGATAAATCAATGAAGAAAATACCAGGGCTGTCTATTATATTAAAATTTAAAAATGTCTTATTCTAAATTTTAGCAGTCAGAATACGGCTCGCGATAAACGCGGTGTATTACTTAAAATTTAAAAATGGCGACCTGATTGGACACGAGTCGCTGTGAATAGACTCATGCAAACTGACGTGCGGCTCGACACGACGTGCATTTTGTAACTTCTAACTTAAAAAAATAAATGATCATAACTTGAGCCATAAGCAGCCATGATTTTTTGTGTTTTGAACCTTGTTTGTCTTTTAGGCACTAAGAGAGTCATTTTCTAAGCTTATTATGGTTCACAAAAAAGCGGGAAGATGGTGAGGGACGAGGCCCGATTTATCTAAGAGAGACAATCCCGAAAAATTCCTGCAAGTGTTTAGCGGTGTTATTCACTCGGCCACTGAAATCTCTTTTTTTTTTTTTTGCTCTTCATAAATGTTAAAAATAACAATAAAAGCAATCAACACTTATTTATAAAACTTATAATAATAAAAAATTGCATCATATGTATTAATTAATAGCACGTCTAAATCCATAAATATTCACAGATTAAAAATTATTTTCCTTTATTTCAGGGAAAATTCCCCGATTTTGGGGATTATCGATTACGTCATGTCCGCTCCCTACGTCATCTGTCGCATTCGAGTAAGATAACATTCGATAAAGAAGAAAAGGGCGATACGGAACAAACGGAACGTTGATTTAAAATATTTCTAGACTCGAACAAAGCAATAAGAATAGTGTCTCTTATTGTAAACAACAGAGTGGCCTTTGTTTGTTCATATTCAAACGGAAGAATAGAAAATTTCACGTACAATTCGATTTTAGCGGATTCATTGTTTGTCGCAACCAAAGTAGTGATTGTCACATAAAATGTCGATGCGAAAACGAACGACAGCTCGTCAGTTTCAATTAATGGTGGATTTTATGGAGTTACATCCTAAATTGATATTTGGAAAATTGGATACCAACTTCACTGTTAAAGATCGACAAAGGCTTTGGGATGAACTAACGACTTTATTGAATTCCGATGAATTAGGTTCGGCGAGGGATGCGGAAAAATGGAGAAAAGTAATATTTTTAATGCTACTCGTGAATAGTTTAGTTAGAATTTGCAGAATAATTTTTAAAAAATTTTCTTCTTAATATGTTTATATTGTATATATGCATGTTTTTATTTCATTTACTGTTACTTAAGATACATTGGAATCCACTAATTGATTCAGTGCAGGTGATAAAAATTCAGTTATTTTATACATTTATAACTCTTTCCAACCATGTGAGCTTTGGGTCCTTCTTATAGCAAGACCATTAAGGGTTCAGATAAGCCTGCAATGGAGTGGTGAAGTGGTGAGAGACAGTGGTTCACATATCCAGACTAGCCAGTCCCAAAAAATTCCCAGGATTTCTTGCCTTGCCTGGATTTCATTCCAGGTCCTCCATCTTAACCACTTGGCCATCTCCATCTNGTAGATCCCCCATTACGATACTGTCGACAGTAAGGGCGCCGCCATCTTTCTTTCTTTAATTGTAACACCGTAGACCCAGAGCGACCGCTATTAACGAACGCACCGATACATGGAACATTGTAATATAAGAATTGCCTCCATCATCTAGTGATGAACTGACTCACCTAAAAATTCCCGATTTTCCATTTGCTTGGTGGCCTTTCCTCCTTTAATTAAGTGAAATATAACGTGTATACATTATATTTCACTCGAGAAAGATAAATCAATGAAGAAAATACCAGGGCTGTCTATTATATTAAAATTTAAAAATGTCTTATTCTAAATTTTAGCAGTCAGAATACGGCTCGCGATAAACGCGGTGTATTACTTAAAATTTAAAAATGGCGACCTGATTGGACACGAGTCGCTGTGAATAGACTCATGCAAACTGACGTGCGGCTCGACACGACGTGCATTTTGTAACTTCTAACTTAAAAAAATAAATGATCATAACTTGAGCCATAAGCAGCCATGATTTTTTGTGTTTTGAACCTTGTTTGTCTTTTAGGCACCAAGAGAGTCATTTTCTAAGCTTATTATGGTTCACAAAAAAGCGGGAAGATGGTGAGGGACGAGGCCCGATTTATCTAAGAGAGACAATCCCGAAAAATTCCTGCAAGTGTTTAGCGGTGTTATTCACTCGGCCACTGAAATCTCTTTTTTTTTTTTTTGCTCTTCATAAATGTTAAAAATAACAATAAAAGCAATCAACACTTATTTATAAAACTTATAATAATAAAAAATTGCATCATATGTATTAATTAATAGCACGTCTAAATCCATAAATATTCACAGATTAAAAATTATTTTCCTTTATTTCAGGGAAAATTCCCCGATTTTGGGGATTATCGATTACGTCATGTCCGCTCCCTACGTCATCTGTCGCATTCGAGTAAGATAACATTCGATAAAGAAGAAAAGGGCGATACGGAACAAACGGAACGTTGATTTAAAATATTTCTAGACTCGAACAAAGCAATAAGAATAGTGTCTCTTATTGTAAACAACAGAGTGGCCTTTGTTTGTTCATATTCAAACGGAAGAATAGAAAATTTCACGTACAATTCGATTTTAGCGGATTCATTGTTTGTCGCAACCAAAGTAGTGATTGTCACATAAAATGTCGATGCGAAAACGAACGACAGCTCGTCAGTTTCAATTAATGGTGGATTTTATGGAGTTACATCCTAAATTGATATTTGGAAAATTGGATACCAACTTCACTGTTAAAGATCGACAAAGGCTTTGGGATGAACTAACGACTTTATTGAATTCCGATGAATTAGGTTCGGCGAGGGATGCGGAAAAATGGAGAAAAGTAATATTTTTAATGCTACTCGTGAATAGTTTAGTTAGAATTTGCAGAATAATTTTTAAAAAATTTTCTTCTTAATATGTTTATATTGTATATATGCATGTTTTTATTTCATTTACTGTTACTTAAGATACATTGGAATCCACTAATTGATTCAGTGCAGGTGATAAAAATTCAGTTATTTTATACATTTATAACTCTTTCCAACCATGTGAGCTTTGGGTCCTTCTTATAGCAAGACCATTAAGGGTTCAGATAAGCCTGCAATGGAGTGGTGAAGTGGTGAGAGACAGTGGTTCACATATCCAGACTAGCCAGTCCCAAAAAATTCCCAGGATTTCTTGCCTTGCCTGGATTTCATTCCAGGTCCTCCATCTTAACCACTTGGCCATCTCCATCTGACCATTGTATCAGTTACTATAGTCTACATGATACTATTAGTTATACCAAACAGGAGATCAGTATGTGATGTGACAAAAGTATTTCTCTGCATTATGGCCTGATCCAAAATTCTAAGGATCCTGAAGCCTGAATCTAGAGTGAAATCTTAGTAACTGTTCATAAGGTTTCTATCTATCTATAGATATGTTAGCTAGGAATAGTGTCACACATATATTTCTAACATTTAGTTCTGCCTATCAGAAACCATTATTTTATTTTTTTAACATATATCTGTTATCTGTATGTCTAAATATATATACAAATATGTATAGATATATTTAAGAAATCAACTGAACAGACAATAGCATTGGCTTAACTGTAATACTGTTGTGATACTGACTATACTACTAGTCTTGTAGTTAAGCTAATTTGTTGGAACACTTATTTCACTCACTAATACAAATTGCACCACTTATGCCAAATCATAGATACACTCCTGATGTAACTCTACAGTTGCTGTGGTTAGGAAATGGATTAAGCTATTCTGTGACAAAAATATTAAAGCCAGTCATAATAGACTAGTGTACTGATATCTTGCATCGAGACAATTATTAATTTGTTAACAAAAGGAGTGTTGCATTGATAAAATTTCAGCTCTGCTCAAAAGGGATCACATTTAATAAATTGTAATGATTTGACCACTTTTCGACATCATCAAAAGGAGTGTAGAGTTCCCAGCCATCCTAGTTTGATAGAACATCTAGACTTGTCTCTGAGCTCTGGCATCGTGAATTTGTAATATCAAAACTTTTTAAATCATTTAAACTTTTACATAGAATCTTATTTCAAAGCACACATGAATATTACCGTTAGTTAAATAAAATATCCGTCATTTAGTTAAATGTACTAGGGAATCCCCTAAGTTGATTTGCTCAGGATGTAAATTACCATTACAGATCCTGGACACTCGGCCAAGTGCCAAGTTTGTGTGTAAATTGGTTTTGTTGTTCATTTTTTTTGTTATAAGTACAAAACTTTCTTTCACATGTCATAAATATGTGAATACCATTGTAACAATGAAACATTGGTGCATGTACTTCTATGAGATTCACATATTCTTCATTGTTCCCTGATTGCATCTATATGTGGCCCAAATGACATCTATCAAATATTGAAAGTGCATAATAATCATAATTTTAAATAAGTAACTGAATATATATGTAGGCTGTTTTTTTCAAGCTCGGATGGTCGGTAAAAAAAAGACGACAAATTGATTTTGTTATTTACAGTTGTCCTTGTTTTATGGATCATCAGAGCGTGGGAAAAAACACCCTAGTATATACCTATGATTAATCAGAAAAGTGAACAATTTTTTATTTGATGTAATAATGTATACTTTTCTGCAGTGACAATTTACAATTTTGTTTCTTTGTCATAATCTTTGGTTGCCAACTTTCAGCATTGTCTGATCAACTATGATTAACTGCATTTATTTCAGACTGATGCACACAAGAAGCTAAACTGAGATAATAAGTGTTAATGGCAAATTCAATTGTCAAGTTCAAGAGAAAGATGGTTATTGGAGCCAATAGTCAATGTTCTTTGTGTCTCAATTTTGCTACCTAATGTGTATCAGCCTTTACCGTATATTTTGTTTAGGGATCATTCATTTTTGGTACATAAATCTACAATGTTTGTCCTATATGAAGCGGAAATTATTTTTATAATAATCAATTTGTTTACATTTTCTTCTTTGCTAAATTAGTAAAAGGGTCCACACACATTCATATACAATTGAAAAGTATGCGCACTAGTTACTATTACAGTGTAATGAAATAATTTCATTCTGCATGTAAAAACTAAAATAAATGCGCTTATTTATTGAAGTGAAAAATTTTTATTCATATTAAATAAATTAAGCATTTAGTATTTTAGAACAGAAATCTTATAAAAACTATTTTGCCTTTGGAAACATTATCAATGTGGTACTCAAACATTGTAACAGGTTAGTGCAACGGTATTTTCCATTAGCCTTACAAGTTTATAAAGAATATAACAGTAAACATCATAGATGAAGTTTGTGCAAGAACTCCTTAAACTTAACTCTGGTTTCAAATAAAATGACCATCTTCTGTCAGTATAACAACTTCAAGAGAAATAGTGAAATGAGATTGTTACAATCAAATATGAATGCCGTAAGAACCTTGGAAAGCTTTGATTCAGAAGAATTAGAAAATATTTTGTATAAAATCTCTGAAGATGGCCACTAAGGAACAGAAATGCTTAATATTTGGCCAAATATCAGGTGATTTATTTGGTAATGTATGAAAGAAAAGGCTTAGAGTAAGGTGGAGGGCAGAGTCTTATTCAAGAATAAAAATTTTATAACTTTTCATTTTTAAAAAGGAATTGTCAATTATGCGATGAAAAATAAGAAACTAAATCTTGCCATTGAGGTCCCTCATATTTTTTTGGCAGCCCCACCAAGTAGGGTATTTAGCAAATGTATAGTATGTATGACAAAACTGGAAGTATGACAATCGACAAAATTGCTTTCTTCTTGTGAGTGCAGAAGCATTACAGTTCCTTTGTTATAATTTATCACTCTTGAATTATGATTATTAATAGATTAATAATTCTTGTGTAAATATTAACTTATTTATTCCTTTCCAAAACAAATATAACCTAATATTTTAAAGTTTCCTTTTCATTCATTTTTGTGTTTCTTCTTCCTTTCCTTCTTTTTTCTGTCTTCCTCTCTCAACTACAATTAGATTATTTGGCCGAATAGTTTAGTTTTCGGGACAGAGTGGTCCTAATATCATCATTGCATATTGTCCAAATATGTTTTAGCATACAACCAAATATCAAATACAATAGGAGCTACAACTATCCAAAATTAACCTCACGGAGTACTAATTCCAGAGTTTTGATGCCATAACGTACTTACTTTGTTGCCAAATTTACCCAAATATTTGATCTGATGCTACTTTTTATATAATATTTGAACGGTTGGGTTTCTCACACAAACTGCATCTTTATCATTTGAAAACTTTCATCATTGCAGATTAGAATCTCCAGTAAACTAGGAAGTAATGGATTAAATTTTTGTTCTCTTAATTAAACAGAAAGATGCTTTCATCCAAAATATTCTTTTTTGCACATCATCTAATGAAGGTTTGATCATCTCTTATATGCTTACATAGTACACTTTAGTTTTGACTTCTCTATGCACATAAAGTATATTTCAGGTGAAAGCATCTCTGTGTTTAAGAAAGAAAATATTTTATTCCTATTTTTAGGAAATAGATTTTTGTAATGAGTATTGCTAAATATTTTTATTTAGAATGATCTTTCAGATTTACAATTTTGGTTAAGTACACTCAGTATTGTCAACAAATTTAACTATTCTTTTCAATAATAATATGCATTTAAATCCAATTACAATACAGTAATACCTCGACTTACGCGAACCCGGAGTTACGCGATCTTCAAATCTCGTCGATTCGTCTTTTGTTTGAGCGCCACGCAACCCTTGATTACTCACTCCCCCCACACTATTGTTCGGATGTGTCGCGCGGAATCCACACATAGCTACAATTTATTTTGTGTTATTTATTTCTGTGTTTGTTATATCTACGGAGACTTGAGAGAGACTATGTGGTGATTTCTTGTAACCGTGAACGAATTAAAAGACGAGATAAGATTAACGAGAACATTTATTAGCTTACATACATCCGACTTGAATTTTACACAAATTGCGAAATTATACCCCGACTTACGCGAATTCGACTTACGTGGTTATCGCTCGGTCCCACCTATCGCGTAAGTTCGGAGTATTACTGTATTAAAGAACATTTACTTCCGGTAATAGAAACGTTTACTAAATCGTGTAAGGAACGCTTTCGACCTTCTCCAAGGTTTGAATCCAATTATCGAACATTGTGAAAAGAAGTTTAACCAGAATGCACTGGGACTTCAAGCAAAATAAGCTTTATCTGTATACTCCTTTATATGCACAAATACATCTTCCATTTCTAAATACATCATGAAGTTGTCATCAAGATATTTAACTGGGCAATACAGAACACATTTTTGTGTGTAAGGGATTTGTGCCACTCTATAAATGAATGAGGAGGAAAAAAATGCATCATTAAAAGTTAATTAATGCTAATACTGTACATTTTCTGGGGATATTATAATAAAATATTTATATATATACAGGATGTAAAGTCCTTATACACTGATGCATTTGAGTGATGCACAACATATAACACACAGTAATGAATGCAGCACAAAGACATAGAAAATGAGAAATAGAGATTATAAAAAAAAATGCATGAATGAACAAATGAGAAATACACATTCTATGCTTTCTGTTCATGTTCATGTACATGGGATGTCCTTTCATCTGTCATGCATTATGACTTTTCTTCCATATCATGTATCGTTTTTGAAATGGAAGTGCTAAGTGTTGCAAGCAGTTTCGTCTTGTAGCATACAGTCGTTTTACTATAACTATACATCACATTAGTTAGATTGAGGTGTAAGAACTTTACTATGTACTCTTCTATATATTACTATATATTCTTGTTTAAACATTTAAAAAGATTTATTATACAAAAAACAAATGATTTCTTTCAGTCTTGGAATGATTTTAAGAATACCATAAAACAAAAATTGGCAACGCTAGCCAAGACTCAGAATCTAGACAGTAGCTCGACATATCTCAGATTATCGCCTCTGGAAGAAAAAGTGATGAGAATGATCGGCACGGTAACAAATGAAGATCCTTCTTTAAACGGTTATTCATATATTACTTTAGATCAGGTAAATTTAAGCTTTAAAATTCCTCATAGTATGTTAAGAATCCATTTAAGATAACATAAGTGATTCTTTATATTAAAGGCAGAAAAGATGCCTGTTTTGAATGAAGAAATGATAAACCTGGGCAAAATTGAAGGCAGAAATATTCCGGAACAAGTTATTAGCATTCCCCTTGCCAGTCGGCCTCATTCGTCGTTGCAGGCATCCGCAGTTCAGTACGGTAAGTACGGTATTTAATCATCTAGACACAAAGTGGTACATGTGAAGAGCACAGCTGCTTGTCTTGTTTTGCATCTCTTGCATTAAAGAGCTATACTAATTAAACTGTAAGTAATATGTAATGTTTTTCAGTAATTATGATTAGGATTATGCTCATTTATGCTATCATACAATAATACTTTCTGCAATTAACATTTTGTAGTGGCACATTAATGCGTGTGCTTCCACATTAAATGTGGAAGCCACGTGTTTGCTCATTTCAATACACATTAATATTTTCCACACAGATTTTGGCATAGAACATGAGAATTTGTGTGTTACAGCCCTAAGAAGTTAGGCTTTACCATATCATAATACCTTAATAAATTACTATTAATAATATAAAATCACTCAAATGTAAATCCAAACTGCTAGATTTTAAGGCTACATTTAGATCAAATTCCATAATTCAGTTAATTCAATATTTGCATAAATGTAGTAAAAAAATCAGCAATTTAGATTTAATATTATCAATCAGTCTATTACTCTACGATTGCTATTCGTGCAAGTTATATCATGTTGATCGATGTCCACTCTGCCAGTGGCTAAGTCGTCACTGATGTGAAGAGTGAGTAAAAACCTGGGTCCGCTGGGTTGTCCAAGGATGAGTGCAGTTGCTATTGATAATTGTTGACATCCAGAAATGATAGTAAGTGGATGATTTAACATTTAACAATTTGTTTTGGGGATATAAAAGAAAAAACTTCTTGACTCTTGTTTTTTTTAGGTCTAACCATAGTAAGGTAATCAGGAAATGCTTTGGCGACACTTCTCTCTGTTGATTCCCAGAAATGTCCAGAAGAACATTGGAACAAATTAAAATTTGTATAGGGAACAAAGAAAAATATACAGAATGATTGTGATATGAAATGTTTCTTTGCTTTCATTTACTGGACATATACAAAAACATTACACCAAGTTAGATCTTGCTTTTGCTACATATTAACTAAATACAAGCACACAAGAATATAGGTGGCTATTTAGAAAAATAAACCAAACTGTTTAAGTATAAAATGGCTCTCAAGCATTGCTGAAGTTCATTTGAGATACGACTTAAATAAACTTAAAAACATTCAAAACTTTGAATCTTGATAATATTTTAAACTAGCACATGTGATGTTAAATGTTAACAGATAAACTGATATTCTAATTAAGAATGTTTCAAAACATAGCTTTAAAATTATAAAACTAGATAGGTTTGTATAATGCACACGTGAAAAAACAAAATACGAAACAAAAACATTGAAGCATTACAGTGGTGAACTTTTGCTTAATCAATTATCCATGTCTGTCGTCTGAAATTATCCATGTCTTCCCATTTTCCTATCACCTAGATGTCTGTCGTCATCAAGGTGGTAAGAAAATAGGAAAACAGTTGAGTGTATTCTCCAGATGAATTCCAGATACTTACATAGGATACAATATAAATATGCTAGGAAAAGAGATACAAGACATGACCTGGTTCACATCACATGTTTCTGACAGAAATGGAGAGTCAACTCTGCCGATATTACTTCAGTCATCATAGTCAATGTTGTGTTGCCAACCACTGCAAACTAAAACCATAAATAAAACATTTCTGATAGTGACATAGTTACCAAGCACCCTCAATCTCCATTCTTGTGGGATCAAATCCTATCTTGGCTTCTATAAGAGATTGCAACAGTCATGGAGCACATGCAAGGGAGATGCTCTCCCTTGCATGTGAAGACTTGTGCAGTTTCCAACACCCATTTTTTTTGACTGTGCCAGCCACTCCTCAAAATTAATATAAAACATTTTTTGTCCAGTTAAAATGTGGTCAGGAAAGTGTGGCAACTACATTATCAAACAGCCCGTTGCCAATTTATGTAAACTCAAACACAGCAGAATCAATATATAGCCATATGCCAGCGCTGTCCAACTTATCATAGCCCGCGGGCCATATTTTCTTCACCAATCATTTCGGGGGCCAAGAAGGTTACTGCTGTATTCACCCAGGTTAAGTGAAGTTACACAAACTAAATAGTACCTACTTTAAATTCAAATTAGATTTAAATTTTCACATAGTAAAATAATTTTAATATTAATAATAATAATTTAGTAACATAAATTTATTCATAGTAAAATGTACTCGCGGGCCGTAAAAATTATTTGGCGGGCCGTAGTTGGACAGCCCTGCCATATGCAATAACTTTGCCTACAAATTACATGTTCAAAGTATTTATTTAAATGTATTATCTTTCTTCTTCCATTACTTTGATTTTATATATTATGTGAAATAGGAGAAAAAAGCAATGCAATTGTTTATATCTAATACAGGACATGTTGCTATCACAAAAGCAGATTAACTTTTAAATTCTTAACTTATTCAGGTGCTAAAATATGAAATTTTATTATATCCACTTTTCAGCAAATGCAAAAGAAACAGAAGATCTAAGTATGGCAAATGATAAAGAATCTTTGCCATATACGGCCACGGTTCTTGCATCGACAGAATCCTCCAATGCCCCGATATTGCTCACGTTCCAAGGAGCTTCCACGATCGAATCTACGACAAATACCGCTATGGTTCGTCCGACGTTATTGCCACATCAACAGAAAATAAACTTTACAAGTATAGGGTTTTTTTTATTATATGAATACTACTAAATTAAATTTGTTTTCTCTAAACGTAATTTTTGATATTTGTAGGAAAGAAAAAAAAATTTAAGAAACATTCTCTGCTCGAATTTCTGAAAAATAATGACAGGAGAAAAATAACGGCCTTGGAACGCATAGCCGCTGCCGAAGAAAGAAAGGCGGCGGCGGCCGAAAAGAAAGCCGAAGCCATGAAAGAAATCGCAGGCATTCTGAGTGGCTATTTAAACATATTACCAACGTGAAGTGCAATTGTGTTTCTAAGGGCAAGAAATATTTCATTGAATGGATCTGAAGTGTTATTCTATGCATTTAGGTAAATAAGACTTTTGATTTTTTAAATTAAAATTTTATTTTGCTAATTAATTTTATTATTTGTAGGCAAGAAGAAATCATTCAATCTTATGACAGCCTAAACAAATACAAGGCATTGGTGTAAATGGGTGCATTTTGAAAACTTTTAAAGGTAACTGCAATTTAAGTCGAGCAATGCGTAAGAATTATGGGTCTTCTGATTCCACCGAACAATTTCTCCAGAAGTACAATATCTCTTATGGAATACATACAAATTCAGAGTATGATCGCTCTCCATCTGGCTAATTAACACTATAGTGATAAATCTGATGCACCTTAGTGCACCTTTAATTTTACCACATCTCTACTATTAAACATTAAAGTGTACTTAATGCAAACAATGCCAATTGCATTAAATTGGGATTTGACTACTACACATCAGTGCATTTTTGTTATTTGCTCAGCAATCTCTGTTGTGTATCCTCACTCAGCCCGACAAATCCGTTCTCTGTGAACAACCACAAATGTAAATAAAAAAATTAATTTTTATGTGACAGCAGTTGTCTATATTCTTTGTATGAGCATAAAAATAAACAGTTGTTATATATTTATATCTTCTGTAGGTAAATTGATTTAATGTTAGAAGAAATGGAACAAGAAGTGTACACGACTTCCAACTTCATATTTCTTTGATCAAATGTTTGTGTTGATAACCTATTTTCCGTACCTGGCTCATCACATTGTTGAATCCCAAGCAAGTTCTTGGCATAGCACAAGTTCATTTATGTGTATGCTGCAAGGAACTTGCACAAACAAATGCATTGGAATATGCAAAGCTCTCATTAGACGCCCTTTTAGCACAAAAATGAAGCATTTCCAGACCCGCGTTATAATTTATTTTATTTCTCTGTACGTGAGGAATCCACTTCTGAAGTTTGCCTTGTATTTTTTTGAAACACCCTGTAGCATTTCCAAAACAGCATCTTATCGAAAATTTTATACTTTTAATTGCACATGGAATTGTGTTGGGGAAGTGAGAACAAAGAGAGAAAGAGCGAGAGCTACGGTAAAAAGGTAATATAAAAATACAATTTCACATCTATTCCTCATTAGTGTTAGTATTAAAACATTCTGCAAGGATAATGAAATTTGTTTTGTGTTTCATTACATCTTTCTATTGTTTTGCCAGTTATGTAGATAGAACAATTTTCATGTTTAACAATATAATTTTGGATTCTACCTGTTTTTCAGACAATCCCAACAATTACTATTTTTAACTTTTATGTCTGTTTTATAACTTTTTATAAAAATATTATCTTTTTAACATAATTAATTTGATTTTTTTGATAACAATTACATTGCTATGTTAGTAATGACTCCACTTAGTATTTTTCACAGCTAATCTTTATACATAGTGAGTCAGGAAGAGAGGGAATGATAGCATTGGTCTTTGTATGAAGATATGTATTATTCTCTGTAGTTTTGGAGACACAGCTGAATGAAAGTTCCTCATATACATTATTATTAACGAATGACACGTGTTATGCTCTTAAAAAATGCTCAAAAATTGAACTTCGATACACTATACAATCGAGTCAATCAAACTTTACATCACTTTCACTTACTTCCCTATCACTATCAACACATCAGAGACAGAATTGAAGTCTCGTTGCTGCATTTTCTGGAAACATATGCTGCAATGAGAGTTGAACTTTCTCTCTGAATTAGCAGTGATGGTCACTGTATAACTTAGGAAAGTGATACCTGATGTTCAGACACAAGTTGTATAACCATCCTAATACATATGAGATGCAATCAAAAAGACAAGCTCTACACCAAGTCTAGGTTAATAGTTAATTTAAATTTGTCCTGCACCTCTTTCAAAGTAGTCCGTTTCTGTGGTGATCCTATCACTTCTGCTGAGCCTCAAATGCTCCTTGGAAGCAATTTTGAAAATTTCAAAGCACCCATTTTGATTCAGACTGGACTCCTCGACCCTATCAAATTGCCATCTCTTTGTTTTCCAGAGAATGAGAAGTTTCGAGGGGCTAAATCCAACAAGTAGGAAAAGTAGGGAAGACCATTGTGTTATTTTTATCAGAAATGCTTGCAATTTGAAGGTTGTATGTGCAGGAGTGTCATCATGAACAGACAGCCATGTTTGGTTATGCTACAGTACTAATCTTTTGTGGCAAACGTTGTGCAGTTGCCTCAAACTGTTACAGTAGAAGTGATTTTCTGTTAGACTGTAAGGGAATTACATACTGAAAATTTATTTCCCCCAATCAAAAAATGATTGGCAAGTTCTTTGTTGTGCTCCAAGAGTGCAGTCTCACCTGTGGCTTAGTTGTCATAGGCCTTGTGAAGCATCCTGAGGAGATTTTGTGTTAGATTTCCCAAGTTTAACACTTAATCTGTGTTCAATTTTCAAGATAGGTCTAGAGTTGTAGCATAATTGTAATGTAATATCATAAAATCATATCTAGCAAATATTACAGTTTGAACTGGAATACTTGCTACAGATTGCTACAATTTTAAACAGTTGATATAATCACTGCTCAAATAAACTGCAACAGAAATAGGCTCTCACTGTTCTGACTGATAAAAATTGTGTTATAATTTAAAATGTACTGTACATGTTTTTAGCCATCCATGCAATTATTATATAATTAAAACAGATTTTATTATTAGAAATATAATATGCAAGAAATTAGAGTTTGATTTATGATGGTGGAGGAGGAAGAAGTGAACTTAGGTACCGACTTTGTAGATCCTCGTCATTTTTCATTCTTAAACACTATGTAGTGTAATAAATTCAAAAGGTTGGCGTTTTATCATCTTTATTTAGTTCAGTTGATAAGTGTTTAAAATACACGTTTCGGGCATAATATCTCTTCAGCAAACTTGGGATTATTTATAAACTGGGTATCATGAATGAATACATATTTATACAGCTAACATATTTATTGTCTATCTTCGTTGTTTCCTTTTTGGATGACAAAATTAAAAGATGGATGTACCGTCAGTACAAGATTTTCTGCTTACATCTGTATTCATTCGTGGTTAAGATCAGCGGCGGCCTTATCCATTGCGAGGCTCTGGGCGGCAGATCTTTGCGAGGCCCTGGGCGGCAGATTTTTGCGAGGCCCTTGTCCTTTGTGCAAAGTATGTAAATTGAAATAGTAGGCACTTATTAATATTAATATATACTGTACTATAAATTAAATTTATTTTATTGTTATAACTAATATCCAAGGATAAAATAAAAAGTTTTAAATATCAACTTTTTTCTACTTGGTTGTTGCGCGAGGCCCCGGGCGATTGCCCTGCTCGCCACTCCCTAAGGCCGCCACTGGTTAAGATGCAATATGATATTAAATTTCGAATAAATTTTATCTTTTACTGTTATATAAAAAATTCATATTTACAGTAGAGACCCCCTATAACATGGTAGATATGTTCCGTTTTTTATGAGTCACTTAAATACATGAGCCAATCACAGCCTGGGATGTATGCAGTTTAGGGACTACGGTTGTTTGAAAGGTTCTCTTCCATAAAATTAATTGATTCTAGACTAATTTGACTCATTTCCAAAACACGTATAATTTTTTGGGAATAATCCATATAAACTATGCTATAAACAAAAAATTCTAGGATTACTTACCGAGTGTGCACTGTTCGATGATGCCGTTACTTAAGCTTGTTTACATCGCGGAGTGGTGCATCGAATGGCGAACGCGTTTTCTGATAAGTTATTTTTCTGAGAAAAATTCACTGAACTTTGGAGACATCATTAATATAAATATAATTTTACGGCCGTTAAATAATAAATGGTTTTTAGTAGGTCCGCTGCTCGTTTAAACTCAACGGTTTGTGCAATATCTGCTATTGGTCTAGATTCAACCAATCCTATTGCAACACAAGTCGGTGATGATGTTTTACCATATTATATGAGTCTCTTTTAGCGTGTTTATACAAATACAATCACAATTGTTTCGCTGGGTTATATGAATCTGTATTATATGAACCTGTATTATAGGGGGGTCTACTGTACTAAATAAAACACCTTTAAATATGTATTCACCCATGATACCCAGTTTATAAATAATGCCGAGTTTGCTGAAGAGGGACATGTTATGCCCGAAACGTGTATTTTAAACACATATCAACTGAACTAAATAAAGATGATAAAATACCAAGTGTTTGAATTTATTACAGTACATAGTATTTAAGAATCAAAGAAGAGTCACAACACGATTTCAGATTATCAAAGTGCATGTCATGACAACGTAAAGACTTGGTAGATCCTCAAGTACAGTACACTTCTTCCTCCTCCACCATCAAAAATCAAACTCACAATTTGCCTCATGCAGGAAATTAGTGGTATGTCAGGAAACAATTTAGCAGGGGAATCGTACCAAAATGAGAATGTTTGTCCAGTGAAGTGGCTTTAATAATGTATTAAAGCCATTTCACTAGGCAACCTGTTCTAACTGACTGTTTACATTACTGAATCCAGTTCTACTCAAACTATGATAATGTAGATTTTGTTTCACATGGGGAAAAATATATGTATATATGGTACTGTACATAACCAACCCCTCACATAACATTGCACCCCAGAGAAGGCAACGGGAAACCACTCTAGGTACTAACTTTCCTTAGTAACGCCTTGGCATATTTACTAACTACTTACTAATCTGCGCCAGGTGTGGCCGAGGTCGGAAAAATCCTGATATGGCACTATGAGAGTGACATAACCAACCTAATGGATAGTTTCAGTTAAAATGGGTGACAGTATTATTCACATTAAAAATATGTAGAAACTGAAATGTCTTCACAATTCTATCATAACCAATCATTGGGAACAAATACATGTATTTTGGGCTCCCCTTTCAAGTGGGCCCTGTGCAGGTGCACCTGTTTAGTTACAGCCTTTTATTAAAGGCTATGCCTCTAAAATTATGTGAAACAGCATAAAAACAATGAAAATGGCTGATGGCTGGCTTATCACCAGAGGACTTTTTTAAACTGTTTTACATAATTCTACAGGGATGTAGTCTCTATGAAGGAAGACTTCCCCAGTGATTAGATATGAAGAATGTGAAGAAGAAGAAAAACTCTCTGTATTTTTAGTCCTAATATACAATTTATAATCTTTAATTAATTCTTGAATCATTTTTTATATAATAGATAATACACTATTTTTGTAAAATTTAGTACTTCAGACTTCTTTTGGCTCACAAACAAGAACAAACGGAAGCATTACATTATCTTCTGTGGAGCTGTGAATTGCTGTCCACTGGATAAACTGGGAAATGGCACAGTATTTCATTATTGAATGCAAAGTTTTACTTTCATTTACAACACTTGTTTATATAAAGGACACAATGTGCCATCTTTGATGACTAATGGAAATTTCACTGACATTAGTAACTGTTAAAATATTTCAATATTACAGTTTCTAGTTTTCTTCCAGTTCACCTTTATGGTGTTATGTAGACTGGCTCTACAAGTTCTATTTAAGGTCCTCCTGTTATTTTCTTTTTTTTTTCATATTTTGCCCAGGTGTCTAAAGAATACAAAAGTAAATCACCAAGAAATTTGCAAGTTAT